GGAGCCTATATTAGGCCGTAAACTCCCATAAAATAATCATTTTGATGATTTAAATTCATTCCAAGTGTTCCAATGCATTTTAAATAATCCATTCTAGCAATCCCCATGTCCATTTAAGCCCTTAGATCATCAAAACCACACCAACATGAGTTTACGGCCGTAAACTCATGTGTGAGTGTGTTTTATGGTTGTAAACTCCTTTAAATGTTTACTTATGGAGAGTAAACTCAAGTCCCAAGTCCCTAGTGCCATTACAAGTCCGAAGATGTCACCCGGGTCACTCCAAACTCTCGTTTTGAGGTGTTTAACCTCATTGGAGTGTAATGTTCCATATGATTAGTGAATGTATCTCTAATTGTATATATATGGACATTATTTCATTTTACATAGGGTCATCGCGAGTAATCAAACCCCGAACCAACGTCTAGCATTTAAAACCGACACGTTTCCGAGTCCGGTGAGTTCATACCCCTACCCTTTTTCAATGGTTTTTCAATGTTTTCAGGGGGGGAATACAAGCAAAAGTACAAGTATATCTTGTACTCAATCACATGATTTCAATTAAATGGTTTCATAATTGTACACTTTAAGAATTGAAAACCTTTTAAACAAACCGTTTTAGCTTGCAGAGTTGTTTGTTTTAACCCGATTTTCAATTCTTATTATACACTGTTATATTGTGTACTTGATAATTGATTGTTCACATTTAAACTGATAGAATACATAAATCATTGTAATGTCCTTAATAAAACACCCAGGATCGAGTGTAAAGTACCATAATCATTAAATAACACCTAGGTTCGAGTGTAATGTCCTTAATAATACACCTAGGGTCGAGTGTAAAAGGACAGCCATCATTAAATAACACCTAGGCTCGAGTGTAATGTCCTTATTAAAACACCTAGGCTCGAGTGTAAAGGACAGGTACGTAGAATATAGTCAGTTGTAAATACTAATTTCCTAGTCGAAAAGTAAAGAGTAATCTTAATGATTGGAGACACGTCCTTGTAACACTTCCATGGAACGAGATAGTGGAGGACTAACCCTGTAACCAGAATCTTCGTTCGTAGGAGAGCGTGGCTTAAGTGTATAGATCTATACGGGACTGACAATCCCACACCTGGCTGCTAGCTACAGCCAAACCGAATGGTTCAAGGGTGACAAAAGTCATAAATAGGATACTGACCATGGTCCGAGTCATATCCAGTCTAAGTATGGTTAAGGACTCGCAATCTAGATTATTAACGTTTCAGATTCATTTACTAGCTTTATGTACGTAGTAAAGCTAATGTACATTTAAGGATTGCAGATATACACATAGTCAGGGAAACATGGGGTTTTCCTGGGGAGAACATTGAACATAACCAGAACCAGTAAAGATACACACACACACAGTCAGGGAAACATGGGGTTTTCCTAGGGAGAACATTGAACATAACCAGAACCAGTAAAGATACACACACACACACAGTCAGGGAAACATGGGGTTTTCCTGGGGAGAACATTGAACATAACCAGAATCAGTAAAGATACACACATACAGTCAGGAAAACATGGGGTTTTCCTGGGAAGAACACTGAACATAACCATAACCAGTAAAGACACACACACAGTCAGGGAAACATGGGGTTTTCCTGGGGAGAACACTGAACATAAACAAAACCGGTAAAGATATACACACAGTCAGGGAAACATGGGGTTTTCCTGGGAAAGACACCGAACATAGTCAGAAACTAGTAATAGTTCACATACACACAGTCAAGAGAACATGGGGTTCTTCCTGAGTAATAGTAGTACGAAATTAGAGAAGTGTAATAAGTTAATCGATTGAATTACATTTCACAGGAACAATCATGTTTTAATTAAACATCGTTTACTTTACTTTCGGATTTGGAAACTAACTTTACATAAGAAAATATGGGATTTTCTTGGATAACTACTTTTCAGGAAAACAAAGGAACTCGTACATTTTCAGAAAAACTAACCGCTTATGAACTCACCAGCTTTATGCTGATTTTCAAACCGCTTGTATTCTCAGGTCCGAGTTAGACAGGTACCTGAAGATCCTTTTGTGTGAAGACGGAGTTTTCAGAAGACTCATTTTTGTATTGTTCAAATATACTATGTATCACTTGTATAACTTATGCTTTTGAAACAAATGTAAATCTTTCATATATGTAATGTATTGGTTGATTTACTTTACTTACTATGTACATTGGATTTGATACTCTACGTGGAGTCAACCCCAGAAATGTTTTCGCCTTCGGTTTTCGGGGTGTGACAATAACGTATGTAATAACATGCAATTATTACAAATTTAATTATATTGTAACTTAGAAATACATTCTTAAACATTTTGTTTTTCTTCACCTGCATTCTTCCTATCCAGCTTCTTAACCTCCACACCTGAATATTATTAAAAAAAATTGTTAATAACATAATATGATCATAACATATGTAATCATATGTAGTCACATCACCTTTATCATTATAACCACTTTCAAATTTCCCAGCAACATGTTGTTCAATAACACCAACTTCAACTTCTCCTGTATCTCCTTCATGTACAAATACGTCAAAACCTGTATATAAATAAAAATGTAATTTAATCACATGTGATTATATAAAGATTTTTATGATAATAATTATATAATTCAGATGAATTTACAAATCAGATGTGATACTCATGTTTACCTATTTCTTGAACATTTTAATTTTCTTCACCTACATTCTTCCTATCCTGCTTCTTAGCATCCACATCTGTATATAATATCATATTTTTTTAAAAACATAATCACATGTGATTTTTGTAATTTGAATGTGAACATATTGAACGTGAATCTGATTTTTAATTGCATATGATTAAAAGATTTTAATCGCATGTGATTTTCTAATATCTATGTTTATTTTTATGCATAATCACATTTGATTTAATAATATCATATTTTTTTAGAACATAATCACATGTGATTTTTGTAATGTTAATGTGAACATATTGAACGTGAATCTGATTTTTCTTCTTGTGAATGATAATCACATGTGATTATTTACAATATTTTATTTGACAATCACATTATAACAATTGATTTTTATTTTTGTATTCATATATTACAGATGATAATCATATGTGATTGATACACTATTGATAACATGTGCAAATTCATATGTTTTATTCTATTATAAATGATTTGTAATATGTGATTTGTTTTTTAATATATTAAGATTTAAATCATATTTTATAATATGAAAATCATATGTGATTTGAATATTGTAATCACATTATGATAATCATATTTTATAATCATATGTGATTTGAATATTGATAACATATTTTATAATATCATATTTGTAATATGATAATCATGTGTGATTTGAACATTGTAATCACATTATGTTATTTCCAGCATAAATTATTATGAATATAATAATATATGATTTTTTGAATCATGATTCATTTGTTTTGTAAAGTAATATAATCATATATGATTTTTTAACATGAACAGATTTAAATCATGTGTGATTCTGTTTCATATATTAATTCTAGTATGAATTATAATGAATTTAATCAAATGATATTAAAAAATCATATATGATTATAACCACATATTATAAAATTATAAATTTGCTTTGTAGAGTAATAAAAGACCCAAAAATCTAATTAAAAAATAATATTGTCTTAATAAATCAACAAAGAAATTATCCATCTTCACATTCGGCTTCACTTGCATCTTGATTTTCCCATTCACCATAAAGAAATTACCCATCTTCACCTTCAGTTTCAGCACTTGCATCTTCATTTTCCCATTCACCATTTTGCCTTCAATGAATCAACCATTTAGGCAATCATTTAACCTTTTTTGTATTTCTTTGCAAGCTTTTCTTTGATCACTTTGTCTCTTCTCTTTGTTTTGTTTGTTGTACTTGTGCACAACTTCAATGATGTCTTCCTTCAGTAAATTTATTTCAGAACATATTAATGCATAAGCATATTTTTTCTCACCGAGTCTAGCAACGCATCTTGAGTTCCTTCTTTTGGGAATCCAGTTTTGTAATTTGTTTCACCCATATATGTTTCCATATATCTCGTCACAAATATCCCACAATCTGTTTTGTTATCTTTAGTTTTACCTAGTAGATGTGGTACTTGTGGTTTGATACTTGGATACTCAAGAGCATGACATCATGGGTGATTTATCTCATGGAGATATCTTAAGAAGCATTTTTCTGAAAAATTATAAAAATATATATAAAGTTGGTCAGATACAATTAAACATATTAAAAATGTCATTTATATTGATATAATCAGATGTGAATAAATAATTTACATAATCACATGTGATTAGAATCATGAAATAACATTTTACATAATCACATGTGATTACTTACCAGATTTTTTAGTACAAGCATGTACTTATCTTTGATTGTTGCTGCTGAGATGTTGTTTTCCAGTATTACAATGCTTGCATTTTTTATGTTAAAAACAAATACAAACATGTGTTCTTGCCCGCAAGTAGGGAAAAATATCTGCATTCGAATATGTATTGTCATATTTAGGAAGGATATACACTATATTAAGAATAATATGATTTTTTTTTAAAAAATACTTACCATATCAACACCTTTCAATTTTATTTTTTCTTCATCTGCGTTCAACCAATCTACAAAATATTTTTTGAATAGATTGTATCTACTCTCATCTTTCTCCTTTTATCTCTCCTCTGCCTCTTTTTCCATTTGTTGTGTTCGTTTTTTTGTCAATTATTTTCTTTTTGTCATCCTTTTTTGTTTTAGTAAGTTGCATCCTCAATATATTTTGTCTAAATGTTAAATGATTTGTGATTTTTAGTGTATAATCATATGTGAAGTTAAATAGATAATATACATGATATTCATTTAGTGTTAGAATCATATATGTTTTACTTACAGTCATTTGGACAGACAAGAAAACTCTGTATGAATAATTATTAATGTCTCGATCCTTCTCATTGTAGTTGAGTAGCTCAGACCATGAGTCTATGACATCTGAAATAGATATTCTCCGGGAAACAAGCTTTCAAATACATATCGGAATGCCACTCTTTTGTTTGTTGTGAATAACAGGTGATCACTGTAAATATAATAAAAACTTGTAGTTAATCACATGTGATTTGCATATAATAAAAATTGTTTGTTAATCACATGTGATTGTAGTAGTGATCAAATGTGATACTCATATTTACCTCTTTCCTGAACATTCTCTTCTTCTTTACCTGCATTATTCCCAGCAAGATTAATCTTAGCCTCCACACATGAATATAATTTAAAAAAAATAATAACTTATGCAATCATATGTTATTATGTGATTTTAATCACATATGATCATAACATATGTAATCATATGTTATTATAATCATATTTGATTATTTGATTTTAATAACATTCGATCATAACATATTTACCTATTTCTTGAACGTTTTGTTTTTCTTCACCTGTATTCTTCCCTTCCTGCCTTTTAGCTCCACACCTAATATAATTTATATATATATATATATATATATATATATATATATATATATATATATATATATATATATTGTAGAAATATATTTGTATTGTTATCTGAATATAATCACATGTGATTAAAAGAGATGTGATCATATATGATTATCATATTTACAAATATATTATATTGTAATTTTCAATACATTTATATTACCTTCTCCATCTCTTTGTTGTTGTTCACCAGTTGTTCCTTCTACTTTCTTAGCATCCTTCCCTTCTATATTCATCACCTCCAAATCTGAATACAATTAAAAAAAAATTGTTAATAATCTGTGAATATAATCATATGTGTCTACATAAATTATAATTATATTTGATTACTTTATTAATAAATATTGTTGTTTACCTTCTCCTTCAGCATTATTATTACCATCCTTTTCATTGTCAAGAACTTCATCATGCAAATTGGCATCATAAAAACCTTTATCATTATTATCATTTTGATCTTTGTCAGCATCTGGATATATTAAAAACTTTGTAGTTAATCACATGTGATTTGCATATAATAAAAATTATTTTTTAATCACATGTGATTGTAAGAAGTTACTTTTTAACAATCATACATGATTCAGTATTGTCATTTTATAATTTAATATATGTATTTAATCACATGTGACTTTATATAGATTTTTTTAAGTACACTTACCTCCTTCAATATTTTCATGTTGAACATGATCATTTCCATTTGTTTCTTGATTATCTTCACTTTTATCTTTAAAAATTGCATTATATCTAATTTTCAAATGATTCAAAGTTATATTTTCTGGGAATTTCTTCATTCCATATTCAATCAGTATATCCAACTCCGTATGTTTATTCGTAACCAGTTGCTCATAAGCCTACATAATCAATGAATTAAAATATATATTAATATATATAATGTAGCATGTAAAATATTAGTAAATAATAATGAGTTCTTATATAATTGTTGTAATTATATGTACCTTCTGATTCAGTTCTTCATCAACATACTCATCATTGAAATCTCTTGTTCCAAAATCACCAAGCTCTTCCTTTTCAAATGTTTCTCTCATTTTTATTTTCTCTGAAGTCCAATGGCAGATAACTGGACGTGTTCTTTCAACCTTTAGTACATCAGATTTGATTCTGTCTAGATAAAGCAACTGTAGAAAATGAAAAAAAAAATAAAAAATTAAAAAAAAACAGAGAGCCAGAGAAAGAGAGAGAGAGAGAGAGAGAAATTATTAATTTTGTAACAAGTTATACTAATCATATATGATTTAATAATCTGACATTTAAATCATATATGATTTTTAAAGATATTTAAATAGCATAAAACATATTAAACATACCACCAAATAAGCAGATGGTCCATTAAAATTGCTTGTTTGATTTGATGGATCAAAAGACTGTTTGTTTTTAACCAAACAATCTATCAAATAAGAACACCAGTGAATGTTTTCTATTTTGGTGTTGCTTGTTATGTAATTCAGTGGGTTGGTGTTTGCTTTCCCTGAAGAACTTGATTCAATGATTGAGTTGATCAACAAAGCTATGAAATTCATCTTGAAATTCATATCCGCCTTGTTCGTTGAAACAATTTTCATCTTGATATCCTGAAGTCTAATCATCTTCTTTTCATCAAATTGATTTGTCCAGTCTTCATAAGATTTATCTTCTATTGTTCTAAACGGTAGTCTTGAAAATTATTTTTTTCCCAAAGGGAATCCAAGAATTTCTTTAATGGATTCTTTGGTCACATCAATAACTCCTTTTGTAAGAACTATCTTCCTTGTATCTGAGTTAAAATTGTTAAGAACAAAACAACTTAAGGCCCCTGGGACCTCTATCATCTTCATATTTAGTATTCCCCCAAAACCCATCTCTCTGATACAATTTTTTGTACTTCATTGAAGCCCTGTATAACGGACAACAAAGCTCCAGGTGTACATCTATCATCAAATATATCACATAATGAATATAACTCATATGTTATGATAATCACAGATGATTGATTTTTGAATCATATATGAATTAATAAATTTTTGTTTACTCACATGTGATTGATATTTTTGTATATAAAAGATATTAATCACATGGTGTTGAATCATACATGATTAAATATATTATCTTATTTGTATATTCATTTTTTTCATAAATAAAAGATATTAATCATATGTGACTTAATAAAGTTATTATTATATCAGATGTGATTTAATAAAATTATTTTTTTATATAAAGTTGTTAATCACAAAGTTATACATGTTTCTGATTGTATCAAAATGCTTCTTTATTCTTTTCTTCTTTCTTTTCTCTATCTCTTTTGTTTCAGAATCGGAATCTTCATCATTTTCATGAAGTAGTTGATCTTTACTTTTTGAAGATATGGCTTTTCTCTTTCTTGACTCAGTTTTCTTTTCAGCTGTTATGAAAATAATAATAATATATTAATTGAGAATCAAGTAATAATTAATAACTATGTGATTTTAAATACATATTACAATTATATGTGATTGAATTATACCTTTGTCGTGTTTTGCTTTAGATCTTCTTTTTGTTCTTTCTTCTTCATTTGATCTTTTTCCTTTTCCTTTAGAGAGACAAACTGTAAAAAATAAATAAAAAAAAATAAAAAAATAAAAAAATAAAAAAATAATAATAATCATATAATCATTTGTTTATAACATTTCTTCATAAACCATATGTGATTTAAATATATGTTTTGTCTATTGTTGTTTGCTTTTCTTCTGTGAATACTACAATAGCTGTAATCAAATTCATATTTATATATAAATCAATAATAAATAACTATTAATATAGATAAAATTCATAATCAATAAAAGGAATCATATAATCATATTAGAATTATATGTGATTGAATTATACATTTGTCGTGTTTTGACTTAGAACTTTTTTCTGTTCTTTCTTCTTCATATGATCTTTTTCCTTTTCCTTTAGAGAGACAAAGTGTAAAAAAAATATAATAATAAAAAAAATAAAAATAAAAATAAAAATAAAAATCATATAATCATGTGTTTATAACATTTCTTCATAAACCATATGTGATTTAAATATACTTGATTTGTGTATTGTTTGTTTTTCTTCTGTGAATACTACAATAGCTATAATCAAATTCATATTTGTATACAAATCAATAATAAAAAACAATAAATATAAATAAAATTCAGAATCAATAAAAGAATGTTATTATAATTAAGCTTAAAGTTTTTCTGATTAATCACATGTGATTGATCATGTTTTTTGCATATAAAAGCAAGTAATCACATTTGATTAAAAAAAATATGGTGATATTCTTTATGTGTATAATCATATGTGATTGAGCAATACCTTTGTTATTTTTTTGTTTCATTGTTATCTCTATTTCTTGTGTTACACTGTCATGTTTTCGCTTTTTGTGCTCTTGTTTTGGATTTTTTGAAATACAAAAATACATATATAATTAGAAAATGAGAAAGTTAATTTGAATTAGATGTGATTAAACACACTCATATTATTTATCACCTTCATTCGTGATTTTTTCTATTTTTCCTCGTGGAATATTGTTTTTCAAACGATTTAGTATCATCTGCAATTTCAAACGGACTTTATTTACGCAATATATGAATCACAGAACACTAAATCAAGAAATTAAACTTTAATATTCGTAATATTGAGTGTTTAGTCGTAACTTATAAACAAAGCAATAGTAGAAAAACTCTATATACTTGCAACGACGTTTTTAGTTCGAAATAACATTGGAATAAATGCAGATTTAATATATATTCAACAAAACAGGAGTAGAAAAACTCGATTTAAACAGAAAACTTTGAGTAAATCCTTCGAGATCGAAAATAGAGTTTCATTTCAAAAAAAACTTTTGAAAAATTCCGATTTCCTGTATATTGATGAAACTAAGAGTAGGAAAACTCGAAAAATCGAGTGGTATTTATATATAAAAAAAAACTAGATAATAATGAGAGTAAAGTGATATTTACCTTTCGATGAAAGTTTCGATTGCGTTTTTTCAGTTGTTGACGATATATGGAATCATTTTTCTTGAAAATATTTGAAAATGATTGAAATGTTGGAGAGAAGCGAGAGGGTTTTATGTTAAGAGAGATGAGGGTTTTTGATTGCGTAAATGGAGGATTCAGACGATGTATGTATAATGTATGCAATTCAGCTTATATTCCTTTTTATGATTATAACCCTCATTTTTAAAATGTGATATGATCGGAAACAATGCTTAAATTATTTACAATTATGCCCCAATATTTATGTTTTTTACACATGATAATCAATTGTGATTTTTATAATGTTTACATATAGAATCGTATGTGGTTTTTCCTTTTGTGTATGCATATATTATACATACACTTATCATATATTATACATGATAATCGTATGTGGTTTTTCTTTTTGTGTATTTTTTTGCTTTTATTTTATATTTTATAGTCATACGTGATTGAGTATTCAATTTTTTTATGTTTGTAATCATATGTGCTTGATATATAAATCATACAATGTCCTTAATAAATGCAAATAAATCATATGTGATTTAAAAAAATATTTTATAATCACATGTTATTATGTATATAATCACATGTGATTATGTATATAATCACATGTGATTGTCGAAATTTTTAACTAATATGATTTAAAATTACACACTGTGTAAACTTTGTAAAGTAATAAACTACTTATCCATATTAAGCTTCACATATCCATAATATCATATATATATATATATATATATATATATATATATATATATATATATATATATATATATATATATGTTCAAACATTTTATCTAACTAAAACCTAATAATTGTATTTAATAAATTAGCAAGCATTCATCCAATGAAAACGTAAATGTTGTCCAAGTAAACAAAAAATCTAATTATGCATTGATAGACTTCATCATTTCCATATTAACCTTCACATGAAACCTCTTGCCAGAATAATTATCTTAATTATCTTCATCATCATCATGATCATCATCATCTTCATCATGTTCTTCATCTTCATCATCATCAACATTTTTTTCTAAAAAACTCATCGATCATACTTTTCAACTAAGTCAATCGTACACTTGTTGGGAAGTTGTGTCACACCCCGAAAACCGAAGGCGGAAACATTTCCGGGGCGGACTCCACGTTGAGTATCAAATCCAATTCACATAGTAAGTAAAGTAAACAACCATTACATTACATATAGAAATTTACATTTGTTTCAAAAGTAAAGTTGTACAAGTGATACATAGTATATATATGAACAAAAGTAAGACGAGTCTTCTCCGCACTCCGTCTTCGCCAAAATGGATCATCGGGTACTTGTCTAACGTGGACCTGAGAATACAAGCAGTTTGAAAATCAGCATAAAGTTGGTGAGTTCATAAGCAGTTTTGTTTTGTGAAAATGTACGAGTTTCCTTTATGTTTACTGAAAATGTTACAACCCAAGAAAATCCCATATTTTCTTAAAAGTAATGTTTGGTTAACTGTTAGGTTACACTGTTCTGGTTATGTTCGACTGTGGTCCTAGGAAAATCCCATATTTTCCTAATGTGAAAGATGTATACTGAAAACCTGGTTATCCATGTAATGTACGTGTTAGTTTACCAACCCAAAATGTAATGTAAAAGATGTACTCACCGAACCAAAATGTAATGTAAAAGGTGTACTCTGAAAATGTATTAGTTTTAACACATTTATAAATCTAACATATACTAAGTAAACTAGTTACTTAACCCATTATTACTATTATGTAAATCTCTGTTATCCAAATTGCGAGTTCCATAACCATACAATAGACTAATTAGGGCAATAAATAGTCCATCACCCTATATGACTTTCGTCACTCTTTAACCTTTCGGTTCGGATGTAGCTAGCAGCCAGGTGCGGGGTAGTCAGCCCCGTATAGATCTATACACTCAATTCACGCTCCCTATCTAAGAGATTCTAGTTACGGGGGGCGGTCCTCCACTTGCGTATCTTTGTGGAGTGTTCACCGAGGATGTGTCTCCAATTATAGGATTAACAAATTTACTAGTAATAATACTGAAAGATCAATTGACTATCCTCCACTTGCGTATCTCTGTGAAGTGTTACCAAGGACAAAACCATGTTCAAATGTTATGTATTTAACTGTTATATTGTGGGAAAACATTTGTGAAAATATAAATACAACAATTTAAAATGTAATACACAAATAACATGATATTGTGTCCTATAAGTTCAAATGGTTGTTTGTTACGAGTGTCAGTGTTAAAAGCATATATAGTATGAAATACAATGTATATAAAACAAGTTTTGAGTACAAGTATCACTTGTACTTTGCTTGTATTCAGTGAAAATGGGTAGGGGTATGAACTCACCAGACGAGAAAACGTGTCGGTTTGGATACTATGTGATGGTTTGGGGCTTGATTAAGCGCGAGGTTCCTATGTAATATGAAATGATATGCAATTGTATCTAATTAGACTTTGAACCACTAATTAGACATGAAAATGCACTCCAAGACGTAAAAACACTTCAATTCTAGTGTTAGGAGTGATCCGGGTAGCATCTAAGGGTGTGTAGGGCCTAAATATGGAGTTTACTCTTCAAGAGTAAACTCCTTAAGGAGTT